GTCCCTGTTATTCAGTGTGCATTACAGGTGGTGTCTACCCTGAGTGTCAGAGCAACGTAAAAGCTAGCTTGCTAAATATACCTTGTGGTGGAGTCGCTTTTAGTATGGGTTATATATGAAATCAAGATCGAGCTGGCAATACCGGAATCTAGAACCTAGGGTAGTGGTGTCATGACACTGCTCACATATTCGTGTTGAACATGGTTGTGACAGTGGCACTGGTTTTCATTTGAAGTGCGAGAAATTTGATATGCATTTTTTATTTCATATTTCGTCTTTGGCAATTCTGGTTACTGGTATTTTGACAGCCACCGAAATCACATTTTGTGACACAAGAGTTTCAAGAGATTACTGGAAATTTATTAAATTGATATATACACTTTTATTGAATTAATATAGAAGCTTGTGGGGAATAAATGTTTTATTGCCAGCATGTTGATAACAGGTTTAAGTAGTTTTAAAGTGACTTCTGAAAATATTATTTCACATAGGAGATTCTAAAAAAAAAAAAAAAAAAGTTTTAGATTATCAGAGAATTTAGTTATGCTTCATCAAAGTTAATGTAGACCCAATCTTATTGATCTGTGAAGAAAAATCTTTTGGATATTTGAAAAAATTTTAATGTTAAGCATCTCTTGGGCATGATGGAACTGAGTAAATTTATACAATTCTGTTTTGAAAGTCTCATCATCAAGGGTTAAATTAGCAGAAACAAGGTGTCAGATTCAGAGTTAAAGGACAAGCATCAGGTGACTTAATTGAGCATTTGCAAGTGAGTAGATGGAGATTTCCGGACCAGAGTTTTTAATAAGGATTACGTTGTTTTAAGATGATAATATTCCCACTTTCTGTTGGCTTCTCATGGCAGTAAGGACAGTTTATGGGTGTGTACTGTGCTGTGTGATGAGTAGATTAGGTGAAAGGGGTTTCTAGGGGAGGGGCAAATATGAGATGAGAGTCTTGTCATGACAGCGTTGGTTGAAGTGCTGAGGAGTTCTGTCATTTGCAGGTTCAGCTTTAGACTTTTGAGAAATGTGATAATGTGCAAATTGAAGTATAAGGGGAAAAGGGCTAAGCTATGTGAGAGAGAGAGAAAGAAGCAATACTTTGCACATTTTTTTTCACTGGCCGAATTATCTGACCTGTTACTTATAACTTAAAGTGCCAGAATGTTTCAGTTATTAAAAAGAAACACAAGATAAGATATGTCCTTGTGCCTGATCCTGACTACATAACAGGGAAGGGGAAACTTCAAGAATGAGGAAATGATATGGCACTCTGGAAAAAAAACTCCCTTTAAGGGAAAACAGTATAAAACCTTTTGTTGTAAAATTATACAAACAAATTAAAAAAAAGAAAATAAGTTTTGCCAGGAAGTATCCAAAAATTTGTAGGTGTGGTCCCTTGCCTGTGTCCCGAGTTGATAAAAATAGCAGTTATTTACTGTTGTATTTATGAGTTTCAATACAGCAGGAGGAACTTGTCTAAATTGAAACCTACGCACCTGTTGATAAGCATGTATGTATTTTTGTGTCATTTGGGTTTTCCACGAAACTGGCAGCTTGATTTTTCTGCCTCTGAACAGAAGTGACATGAAGGTTTATTATCATAAAAGAATTCATTCTTTAAATGAGTGGAATACAGTCATCAGTTTCCTAAATGAATAACAAGGACAGTTTCTGAAAACTGGTTAAAAGTTACAATTAAAGTTTTATATTACAACTGGAGCTGTTCACACTGGCAACTTGTAAGTGAATAGTTTTCATGTGGTCTAATTGAACTTGTACCAGGTAACTGCTTGTGACTGCCCAGAAATAATACCTCACAAGTAAATGGAAAAGTTTAAAAATAAAAATACTGAACATGATGTTATGTCTTGTTCTCTCTCTCTGCACTGTCGAGAAAGGAAAACAGACAACCTCACCACGCAGTTACAATTTTCAGAACAATGAGCAGGATCTGAAGATGCCACACCTGAGAGAGCACCTGTGTATAGTAATTGTACCTTACTGTGTCACATTAAAGCAATAGCCTGGTTTCCTTATTGGGAACCGGAGTGACAGACGGGTTATTTATCACCCTGTGATGTCACTGGGGTTTTGAGGAAGAGAGCAGAGGCACACAGATAAAGCAGTCAGAGAGGGTGAAGCACTCGTATTCTCCTCAGTCATTTTTACTTTGCGAAAAAGGTAGGAAGTTTTTTTTTCTCTTAATCTCGGCTGATTTGTGTTTATTCTTCCTCCTTTAGGACTTCTTGGTTGGGGTTGTTATCATTTGTAATTCTGGAGGTTGTATGGTTTTAGAGGGTGGAGAGTTGGGAAGTTGTTTCTGACAACAGAAAGGGATGAGATGCACAGAAAACAAGTCTCCATGGCATGGATGGCATATTTATAAGCCATTTACATCAGTGGAAGTTAGTTATTCTTTTTGTAAAAGAATTTATTTCGTTATCATTGGTATTGATGAGCGTTGTTTGTTCTTGAATGTTGAATGAGATTATTTAGGGTTATGAATTGAGGGCAAAAAGGGGGAGAGATGTTCTGATATAAATCAAATGTAGTTGTGAACTAAATGCCAGGTGAAATAATACATAATAGGTTTTTCTGCGAAAGTCATTTGTTGGTGAATTTGAATTATCCATTTGGTGTTAGAGGTTTTTAGACTTACATGCTTACACAGGTATAAAACAGTAGGAACAGGTAGTTGTGTAAACGGATGACTGACTCACAGATCATGTTCTCTTAAGGATTCACTTTACTAGTACTCTGCTTGTCTGTTTTTAAGTTCAAGAACAAGGTATGAGACTATGATACTTGATGATAATTTAAGAAAGAATTTAATTTTTATTTTATTTTTTTTTTCTGGTTTATTATGAAACATGGGGAGGTGCACCTTTCTGCTTTTTTTTTTTTNTGAATTTCTAACTTCTGCTTCAGTAAGTTGTAGTTCTGGTCTGGTTATATCAGGGCCTTGATTGTTATTGAGTGGTCCCTGTTATTCAGTGTGCATTACAGGTGGTGTCTACCCTGAGTGTCAGAGCAACGTAAAAGCTAGCTTGCTAAATATACCTTGTGGTGGAGTCGCTTTTAGTATGGGTTATATATGAAATCAAGATCGAGCTGGCAATACCGGAATCTAGAACCTAGGGTAGTGGTGTCATGACACTGCTCACATATTCGTGTTGAACATGGTTGTGACAGTGGCACTGGTTTTCATTTGAAGTGCGAGAAATTTGATATGCATTTTTTATTTCATATTTCGTCTTTGGCAATTCTGGTTACTGGTATTTTGACAGCCACCGAAATCACATTTTGTGACACAAGAGTTTCAAGAGATTACTGGCAATTTATTAAATTGATATACACTTTTATTGAATTAATATAGAAGCTTGTGGGGAATAAATGTTTTATTGCCAGCATGTTGATAACAGGTTTAAGTAGTTTTAAAGTGACTTCTGAAAATATTATTTCACATAGGAGATTCTAAAAAAAAAAAAATGAAAAGTTTTAGATTATCAGAGAATTTAGTTATGCTTCATCAAAGTTAATGTAGACCCAATCTTATTGATCTGTGAAGAAAAATCTTTTGGATATTTGAAAAAATTTTAATGTTAAGCATCTCTTGGGCAGGATGGAACTGAGTAAATTTATACAATTCTGTTTTGAAAGTCTCATCATCAAGGATTAAATTAACAGAAACAAGGTGTCAGATTCAGAGTTAAAGGACAAGCATCAGGTGACTGGAGCATGTGCAAGTGAGTAGGTGGAGATTTCCGGACCAGAGTTTTTAATAAGGATTACATTGTTTTAAGATGATAATATTCCCACTTTCTGTTGACTTCTCATGGCAGTAAGGACAGTTTATGGACGTGCACTGTGCTGTGTGATGAGTAGATTAGGTGAAAGGGGTTTCTAGGGGAGGGGCAAATATGAGATGAGAGTCTTGTCATGACAGCGTTGGTTGAAGTGCTGAGGAGTTCTGTCATTTGCAGGTTCAGCTTTAGACTTTTGAGAAATGTGATAATGTGCAAATTGAAGTATAAGGGGAAAAGGGCTAAGCTATGTGAGAGAGAGAGAAAGAAGCAATACTTTGCACATTTTTTTTCACTGGCCGAATTATCTGACCTGTTACTTATAACTTAAAGTGCCAGAATGTTTCAGTTATTAAAAAGAAACACAAGATAAGATATGTCCTTGTGCCTGATCCTGACTACATAACAGGGAAGGGGAAACTTCAGGAATGAGGAAATGATATGGCACTCTGGAAAAAAAACTCCCTTTAAGGGAAAACAGTATAAAACCTTTTGTTGTAAAATTATACAAACAAATTAAAAAAAGAAAATAAGTTTTGCCAGGAAGTATCCAAAAATTTGTAGGTGTGGTCCCTTGCCTGTGTCCCAAGTTGATAAAAATATTTACTGTTGTATTTATGAGTTTCAATACAGCAGGAGGAACTTGTCTAAATTGAAACCTACGCACCTGTTGATAAGCATGTATGTATTTTTGTGTCATTTGGGTTTTCCACAAAACTGGCAGCTTGATTTTTCTGCCTCTGAACAGAAGTGACATGAAGGTTTATTATCATAAAAGAATTCATTCTTTAAATGAGTGGAATACAGTCATCAGTTTCCTAAATGAATAACAAGGACAGTTTCTGAAAACTGGTTAAAAGTTACAATTAAAGTTTTATATTACAACTGGAGCTGTTCACACTGGCAACTTGTAAGTGAATAGTTTTCATGTGGTCTAATTGAACTTGTACCAGGTAACTGCTTGTGACTGCCCAGAAATAATACCTCACAAGTAAATGGAAAAGTTTGAAAATAAAATTACGGGACATGATGTTATGTCTTGTTCTCTCTCTCTCTCTCTCTGCACTGTCGAGAAAGGAAAACAGACAACCTCACCACGCAGTTACAATTTTCAGAACAATGAGCAGGATCTGAAGATGCCACACCTGAGAGAGCACCTGTGTATAGTAATTGTACCTTACTGTGTCACATTAAAGCAATAGCCTGGTTTCCTTATTGGGAACCGGAGTGACAGACGGGTTATTTATCACCCTGTGATGTCACTGGGGTTTTGAGGAAGAGAGCAGAGGCACACAGATAAAGCAGTCAGAGAGGGTGAAGCACTTGTATTCTCCTCAGTCATTTTTACTTTGCGAAAAAGGTAGGAAGTTTTTTTTTCTCTTAGTCTCGGCTGATTTGTGTTTATTCTTCCTCCTTCAGGACTTCTTGGTTGGGGTTGTTATCATTTGTAATTCTGGAGGTTGTATGGTTTTAGAGGGTGGAGAGTTGGGAGGTTGTTTCTGACAACAGAAAGGGATGAGATGCACAGAAAACAAGTCTCCATGGCATGGGTGGCATATTTATAAGCCATTTACATCAGTGGAAGTTAGTTATTCTTTTTGTAAAAGAATTTATTCTGTTATCATTGGTATTGATGAGTGTTGTTTGTTCTTGAATGTTGAATGAGATTATTTAGGGTTATGAATTGAGGGCAAAAAGGGGGAGAGATGTTCTGATATAAATCAAATGTAGTTGTGAACTAAATGCCAGGTGAAATAATACATAATAGGTTTTTCTGCGAAAGTCATTTGTTGGTGAATTTGAATTATCTATTTGGTTTTAGAGGTTTTTAGACTTACGTGCTTACACAGGTATAAAACAGTAGGAACAGGTAGTTGTGTAAACGGATGACTGACTCACAGATCATGTTCTCTTAAGGATTCACTTTACTAGTACTCTGCTTGTCTGTTTTTAAGTTCAAGAACAAGGTATGAGACTATGATACTTGATGATAATTTAAGAAAGAATTTAATTTTTGTTTATTTATTTTTTTTTTCTGGTTTATTATGAAACATGGGGTGGTGCACCTTTCTGCTTAGTTT